TTAGCCGGAACCGTGTTGTGTCAGCTGTCGATTTGTCAACGGTGCGAATTGATCCCATCAAAGTTGAATCGATTGCTTAATTAAACGAACCTTGCGAGCGTATTTATCCGGGTGAAACGGGATAAAATCGACGGATTAATCCGACCAACCCGATCCTGAACCACACGTGTGCTTGGACACTAATTAATCTTGGAGTAAAAAACTTACACTGATGACTTTCCCGTATTATGTAATTTAAACATTTCCGGATGGTAAATAAATTCGTTGCAAACGAAATGCACTCTCGCGAAGCCGGTCCTGCTGAAACCTAGACTTAACCGCTAGAGTGCTTGACCGTTAAAAGGAATTCATCCCTTTATCCTAATTATTCCGCTCGCCGGGTAGCGAAGCTAGAGAGTGCCTAAAAGGACCACTATGAGACTTAAAACGGGCGTTGTCCGGCCCTGGAACACCTGTTTTAATATAATTAAGCAAAAACTGAGATGGCGAGAATTGTATAAGTTTAACTAAATTGAACTGAATTCAAGAATTCTTTCAGGCAGGATCTTGCTATGGCTTCAATACTATAACGAAGCTTTTCAGGTAAATATAAATAACTCGCCATAATGGAGCAAAGCGCACCCCGCATGAATGGCGCTCACCTCTGTATAAAAACGCAATCAATCAAGTCATTGTTGAGCCGCCGATTAATGGTTTTGATGCCGGCAGCCTTTCTGCCTTGCGGAAGATTTATGTTCTATAAATTGCCGCGCAATAATTGCGGTTTTCTTTACTCTCTTATCAAATACACCGCGTTGAATAGCTATATATGTATATATATATAAATACAACTCCTGTAATTATTATCTCGGTGCATATCAACAAAACGGTTCCATTTAGAACTCGGAAATCGCCCTGTGGGAATGTAGATGTAGTAGAAATGTAGAACAAGGAGTTCTGGTCGTGAAAAAAATGGGGCTTTTCCCGGAGCGAATCCTCCCGGGATAAATTTTCCGGAGCTCGATAAAATCTATTACCAGAGACCCAGCTTATCGGCCGCTATTACAGATATGGGCGGCGATAGTCCGGAAATTTCACTGTGGCGACCTCTTTTGTAGTCTCAAGCACTCGCAGTTTAACTTGAACCTGAGGAATGTAAAATATTACTATCTAGAAATGAAATTTTGTTCCCATTTAAAAGCTACTTTAAATCACATCAAAAGATTTACTTGAAAACCATTTATGTAATAAACTCTTAAGCAACATTGTCATCGCGTTATTAAAATATTTCTTAGAATTTTCATTAAAGCTCAAATTAAAAATAAAAATGTAATAAAATTTGTTAAAAAACATCTTTATTAAAATTAGGTATGCATTGACAATCATTTATCATTGTATTGAGGCTAGCATTGTTTTGGTTTGGATTAAATCATCTTTATAAACAATTAAAATCTTTGTTTCAAATAGAATTACAAATGTTTGTATTTATACATATATAATCACAAATATGTGTCTATGGTGTTATATTCAAAATAAACATAATTTACTTGATTTATTATTGTAAGTATGCGTTAAGGGTGGTAAATACATTAAATTATAGTAATTCGAACTTGAATGACGATTGAATTGAAATATAAGAGGAGATATTAAGAATTTTTGGCAACAAACGCAAATTTTAAAGACTCATATCTATTTTATATGATTCTTTACCTATCTTTTTACATAATGAAAGTATAGTTATATAAAAAGTGCTTTGTTCTTCTGAGTGATGGTTGTTGAGGTATATTTATTTATTTCGTTTAGCATATACACAGTTCAGATTTTAATAGGAAAACTGTAAATATTGTGTAGCACTTCACAAAATCATGCAATTTTTTTATAGGGACATAGGGTCGCATTTTTGTTTGTTTTCCAGCTATAACTACTCAAAGTTTACAACCAAATTACTTGTTGGTTTTGATTTGTTAGCTCTAAATAAAGAGAAAAATGTGTAATCTAAATATGTGCTATTGACTAATACATTATTTTTAAGCTTATTATCAGCTTATTTCTTTCCTTTCTGCGTTATACGCAGTTGAAATTCATGGGATTATACTGGATTTTTTATAAAGACTTTTACCATGAAATATTAATATGGAAAAATATGTGTTAAAAGGTTCCTATTTTAGCCATACTTTTTGATCTTGCTATTTTTTTTTCAAAAAATAGTTGCTTGGGTATTAAAACTCTTTATTTAAGCTATAGGATGAATAAAAAAATCATAATAGCTTCTGGTGTTATATCAAAAATCATCGATAGATTTGATTGTAATTCTTCAAGGATTAAATTAATTAACTACTCTAATACAATTAAATACTCTATCCCATTTGTTTTCTTGACCTCATCAATTTCCTTCCTGTCTGACTTTGTTCAGCACAGTTCTCCATTATGGGAAGATTTGAAAATTAGTTCTATCCACTAATTTCTCCTCCTCTATTCTCTCTTATTACGCTATCTTTATCTATTCTTAGACTACATATTCTGGTGTCTTTTTGATAAGTCTTTTAACCCACCACAAATAATTTGGGGGGTTCTTACTATATGTATCTATAGTACCAATTATTGCTGATTAATGGTTCATTATATAACAAGTAAATGATACCCGGCAACGTAAGGTAGACAAAAAAATGACTTCTGATTCATTCTTTTGTAGTAGTGTTTTATTAAGTTTGGAATTTGCAGTTAATATTGTTCATGCGACGAGCACGAACAGGCACAATTGTGCCCCTCATATTTCAGCTTTATTGCTTTTATCTTTTTTGTTATTTTCGTTCTCTATTTAAAGGTTATCGCGTTGAATACGTCAATAATTGCAGCCCACGCTTCTTGATTCTTTTCCATATGGCTGCGTTTATTGCCTTGTTGTCTACAATTTATATGTGTTTGTATGTAATGTCTTTCAGTAAAATTGGAAAACTGTTTTCATTTTGAAGACTAATAAAAAGACACCGAAAAAAAATACAAAGCGTATCAGATGTTCGACAATCATAAAATTTAATTTCATTATTGTCATTATTTAAACGTGTGCTTTATAGATTCTCAACAATATCTAACAATAAAACTTTAACGATTTGATCACAAATATTTAAATCAATTTTCAATCAAGATTTGAAAGATCATGAACGTTTTGTTCGATAGATAACCATGGAAAATTGAAAATTGCGCAACGTGCTGCATCTCGATTTTGCCGTTCCTAGCAACTCTCGCAACAATTGTTCGTGCGATAAGCGATTTTCAAAGACACGAAATCGTAATATGTGAACATGTTAAGCGGCTTATACGCGGTCCACAATTAAAAAATGTTTTATTGCTAGTTCCGGAGGGCGTCGAGAGCCACGAGTTTAATTCCCTCTGCAGAACTAATGGAAATTACTTCAGAGCCTGGTGGATAAGGACCGGTAAAATATGGAACGGGAACTTGCGGTGGAAGTTGATGTTGCGCTCTATCCGGCATTATATATTACCGTGCTCGATCTATCGAATGGCCATAAATTCTTTGCGAAGATTGCCGCAGTTTTACCTTCGAAATAGTAAAACGGCTTTCAGTTCCATTTTGTGCAACGATATTCGTTTTATACAATATGATAGGACTTGGGTTGAATGTTTTTGATTGGGGTTAGATTGACCCTTTTCATTTTTATTATACTATTTACGCTCCCTTTATATTTTTCATAGGGGCAAGGTAATTCCAATTCAGAAAGGTAAAAACAAGCATGCACATTACATTAATTACCTCGGCCATTAATTAGTGCGCTCATTAGTGAATTCCCTGAGGCCGGACCTGGCGGTCACGTTTCAATATAAGGCCTAACCATCGTACACCGAGCGAGTAAAGTGGGCGGAGCAGCTGTTGATTAGAAACTTGGTCGGCAGTAATCATCGTTGAATGGCCCTCGCCTTACTCGACCAGATATTAATTAATTGAGTTCTGGGTAACAGTTAGCGAATGTACGACCCTTATACCTACTACCTTAGCGCCCTCAAACTAACCTTTACGTGTCGATTTCACTATAATCAACCATCTACTTCCTCAAATTAAACAGCCCAATTTTTTTTCAATCTAATTTTAAAATCATATACCCAAAAATAACTACATTGCACATCGTTTCGAGCTGTTCTCCACCACTACAATCAATACACGAAGCCCGCAACGCTAAATTAATGCAATCAAAACTTTGCGATGAACGCGCGTTCGCGTTTCGGGAGAAATACTCGCCCGGTTAATGGGCTGTATGAAAAGCCTTTGTAGCAAAGGATGCGGACCGACGAGTACGGTTGGAATGGGCGTGGAGCGGGTCGAATTTGACCTAAAATGGGCTGTTGAGGGACGAATAAGTGCTCCCTTTGGCCAATAGAAACGAACAGTGTAGGGTCAGTTGGTGGGTTACCTCAAACAAAATTGCCTAAAATTATTTCAAACTCTCTTAATCCTTACCCTATCTAGGTTTTTGGCCTATTATAACTTGGTGAAGAGTAAAAGTTTATGATAATGCGTGGTTTATAAAGAACATTTATTAAAAACTATATTATAATTTAATTTTATTGATTGCTATGATGTCTCAAAAAGTTTTGCAACATCGAGATCTAGCCAGCTTTCGTCCTTTTGGTCTACACGAGGTCTAGTGATTTTTAATTATCAGACTAGAATCAAGCTTAACAGATTCTCTTCGTTTTTGAACATCGTTCCAATGTGAGTTGAACGTTGCATTCCATGTGTTTTCTATGGGAAGATTCTCGCAAAGGTTAGTATGACTTAGCTGCATATCACCAATGTGAATTTTAAGATGGCAAAAATCCTTCACTGTTATTCGAAGACATTCTGGGTCAGGGAAGAGGAAACCGAAACATATTGTTAATAAATTTGTGTACACCTACATCAGCACATTTTAACTCAATAACGATGAATAAAAATTGATTGAATTAAATTTTGAATGATTGAACAACAACAAAAAATTCTTTTAATTTGATTTTTATTGTTTCAGGTTAAAATAAAACTCGCCGTGTTACCAATGGTAAGTTAATTTAAATAGTCTATATTAGATTTTGTTTGTAACAAATTGATTTATCTCTCTACAAAGACATAAATGTTTTACGTCAATTTTTCAATTTTTTGTTGTCTCTCGAAAGAATGTTATCCGTATTATATTCAACGAAGCGTAGATACAGTATACACGTTTGTATTTTTTGTTTATTTGCAACGATTCCCAGTGATTACTCGCCCAAAAGAATTATTTCAGCCGTTCCAGTTGAATACGGAGTCTCTGCATTTACATCAACAGACGCGAAAAAAGCGTCGCCGCCTCTGTCGCATTTAAATTTCACAGAGAGCGGTCCGCCGGAAATGTGTGGGAGACCGTGTTTTTGTTTTTTTTTTGTTTTTTGTATTTTCGTTTTGTTTTGTTTGGCGTACCGAGATAGCACTAAATGCATTTTTGGGATTAAATATTCATGCCGAATGAATATTTATACTTCAGACAAACAGTCCGGTGTCTTCGGGTTGTGGGAAAGATGGGCAATTTAAAATGTAAAAGAGTCGATACGAAACTGAGACCGTTTTAATATCGCGGAAGGTAAATATCGAAATTTGGAACGATTCCCTCGTGAATTCCGATCGTGCAAACATATCGCGAGTAGTATTTACCCTACTATTCGGGTAAAGTATTATATTTGATATTGATTTTTAGACCAAACTCGTGCAACGGAAAACTTTGAGAAAAAGTTATCAATTTTTTAAGGAATGTTTTACTTTAGGAATGTGCGTGACTATAAAACGATAATTTTATTTTTATAAATTTTACAGTCCATTTCGGGATCGTTAAGTGCCAAATTCTCAGAATAATCTTTTTTCTTTTCCGTCTTAGCGATTTCGTGTCTGGCGGTACTTTCTGAGATAATTACGGAACTGGATCGAAGGAAGGGTCATTTCCTCGACATTTCCAACAATAAAATAATCACCACTATTAAGATTACTGTGCTAAGTGCTGGTTTTGTTCTTACCAAGTGAAAGACGTCATTTTCTCCCTTTCTAAGACAGATTTCAAAAAGATTGCAGAAATCTTTATCTCGCTTCTTTGATATTGATCGATTATTTCTTGGATTTCTATACTAGTAGTAATCAATGAGGGATTAGATGATTTAATATCCTCCTGCATTGGAATGTTGTAAATACAATGGTGTTTAATTGATATTGTCAACTATACAATACGTTATCCCCATCAAGCGATGATATTAACAATTAATTCGGTTTGCTGACATTTGCATTGTGCATTCAACGTAATATTGACCGTTATGTTCTAATGTACATACGCAGTTTGGGGTTATTGGTACATTTAAATATTGCCGAACTGGCAATTTGGAGATGTAAACGTTAAAGGAAAAGTTTTTGGCCACGATACATTTTCGTTCCGATTCCCTTTTCCCGGCACGTTCCATTCGTATCCTCATTGATATTCAATAGGAAACGCTGAGTGGGCCTGCGTGATACACGAACGTAGGTAGTTGCGAAATACACCTGCGTTATAAGTCAAAATTGGCGGAGTCGTCGAGTCACGTTCGGAATTAAAACGGGCAGGATGTCGTCTCCTGCAGGCTTTGGGGTCCTTTTCACGCGGCGAAGAAGAACCGCTCGTAAATATTTTGTTTTCGATCGTAACTCTTTATTTCCGATACTTAGATTGTAGTTGTTTTAGTACTGCCGTAAAATCGACATTAACCTCCTCGTACCCGTCGTTCGGTCAACCCAGTTATTCTTTTACTGCACTACCAGTGGTGGTCGGATTTTGATTGCAGAAGGTCCTCTAACTTTACGGTATATCCCTATTTAATACTTGATAGGATTGAGAATTTTTCCCCTAAATTTTAAAGCTATTAAAAAAACTCTTGCTGATGCAAAACTTGAATGTTTTCGACCATAATATATTAGATATCTTTTTCTAATTCGTTTTCTCTTTTTCATTTAACTTGAATTGGTTTCAGGTGTTTTTCTGTCCCTTCCAGTAATATATCGAGGATTAACAAGACGACCCAAAACGAATAAATCTGATATTAATACCGACCGGTGCAACATAATTTCAACCGTAACATCCCCTATCTCGTACATTTTTCCAAATCCCCCGTTAATCCCGCCTTTCGTATCCAGCAAAAGCGCACCCCAAGTTCATGTCTCCTTTTCGCACTCACACACGGACTCGTCCTGTATTATTCATCGGACGAATTGAAATGTAAACGCAGCACCCTCGCATCCCGGATACCCAGCGCCTCGTCGATCTGTTAATGCTGGTCCGAATTAAATTATACGCTGAATAATTCAGTTTTATAATAATAATTAATGGATATGTATTGTGTAAAGCGGGTGGCGTTAATTGACAGTCGGACTGCCGCAACTGTTTATTATTTTGTTAATATTTAAAACGTCATTAGCGTCCCGTCGAATCGGCTTGCGTCGCATTAGCACATTATCAGGTATTTATTTTGATTAGTATTCGAGTATTGTGTAGTCGACAGTGTCCATCTAGCTTTCAGCATTGTTGCAGAGTAGGTACATATGTATCAATTTCTATTGGTTGAAAATTAAATTCTAAAATGGTGATATAATTTAAATTTAGAAATGAAAATCGTTTTAGTGAAATTAATTATGAAGATTTAAACGTGAAGCATAATGCGGCCACCTCATTTGACGATAGGGTTTCAGCCCCATTGACTGCGAATGTGAATAGAATTCTCCGATTCCGTTTGCACTCATTTAGCGGCGGGCAAATCGTCTATTGTCTCGCTAGAATATTTCGGGGGTGAACCGATTTTGTAAGGATGCATACACATTATGTTCTCTAAACGTGATAAACCGTGAGGCTAATTAAATTCCGTTCATGTCCGTTACACATTCCGTTAATTTCTAAATAAAAGCAACCATTCAGATTAGGAATTTCTTTTGTATGGATGAATTGGTTTTCGAATAGGATTATTCGAAGAGGCTTATTTATCGATGATTATACGATATTAAATGAACTGCGATATTAGATGAGACGAGAATCTTTCGGTAAAAATAGAATCTGCAACCGTTAAATTTACATATTCGTTCAAGCTGCCTCAAGGATGTTACAAACGACAGACATTATTAATCTTTATCCACGCCTCATAAACCCGAAATTGAGTTCCACAGCACCTCTACGCGCCGTCCATATTTCAGTAGTATACACAGCAATGAACCGGGTCGATAATAAACGTATGCTACTACGTACAGGTGCAAACGCGCCCTTAAAATCGAGTCTTCCTATTAATAATCGTACGGCAAAACTTAGACGTCACGAAAGAAGAGACGGGATAAAAAGACAATCCATTTTTCTTGCTCCGCTCCGTCAGAGTGTACCATTTCTTGCGGTCGGAATTTTCGTGAAAAATGTTTGCTCCTCGTCGACTGCGAGCAAAGATTGCTTTACATTTATTTTGCCGTTATGAAAGTTCTACTCCATGTTTTTATCCCCATGACATTAGTTGCTAAGACTAAGAAGACACATTATCTTTATCAGTTTTTCAAAAATCCTTAAAAAATGATATCTTACTTCCTTAATTTTTAAATTACTGTTTAAACTGTTAAATTACACGAACAAACTGCTCCAATTATTGATCCAAATTAAAATTTTTGATCAGTACTACCTTCTAGTTTACTCAGTTCCGGATCCTGTTTGTTCAACGTCGAGCAAATGACAGTCGATAACATGCCGCTGGGCAGAATTTTAATTAGCTTGGGTATTTATCGCTTCTTGTTTGTTTCCGATTAGGGTGTGGCGACACGTGAAGGACGTCGATCGTTGGAAGTGGAAACGTGGAAACGCAGAAACGCGTCCGTTATTTGCCTCGAAGCGTCACCAGGCGCTTTCCAATTTTCCATTTACGACCGAGCGTAATTCAACGGACCGGCGGGGGCAATATATCAAGATAAATATTTGCGTCCGGCCTTTTTTTCGGGTTTATCCAATAGGCGAATATAAATTATGCGGGTGGCGGCGGTGGGCATCAGATCCGCGCCATTGTGACGCAATCGCGTCGGGTCGTGTTTTGGCTACCGTTAATGCGACAACTACGGCCCATCGTTAACCAGAACCGTATCGGCGCTGAATGCTCAATATTTAGCCGGCAAACGAGCGATTATTGAACCGGAATATCGGTCACTGCACCAATTTTAACTGTTTATTATCGCGTATCGATACCATTTTTATTTTTAACCTTAAAAAACTTTTTAAAAAAAGAAATCGAATTACCTTCCTAGACTTGTAGATTAACATTTTCAGATTTGCAGATTATGGTCATTGCTATGCACTTAATGTAAGCTTTAGGCATCACTATAGGTAATAACTGCTACAATTTTTGTATAGAAGCCGATTCTGTCTTTCTTTCTTTATTTCTAAGAATAAAGTCATAGCGATTTTTTGAATTTCTTCATTTTAGCCATGTTTTTTATATGTCTCATGTTTCGTTTTATATTAGAAGGTCCGTCGATAAATGATGGAATATTAATTTAAAAAAGTCCGATAAAACGATTAAGACATTTTTTGCATAATCGATTATTTAAATTTTTGGTCAACAAACTTGGTCAAATAACAAAGAGAACTGTTTCACCAGTATTATCGGTATTATAGAGTTTAAGTACCAAGGTCGATGGACCTTACTAAGAGATTAAATTGTCTCGATCAAATATGCATAGATAGAATCCCATACAAAACGATTTTCTTTGTTTGCTATGTGGAAATTGAAAACAGTAGCACAATATTAATAATAATTGATTTCATTTTCTACTTTTAAAAGAAATAGCATTTGCCCCTTCAACCCATTAACCTTATCTCAAGTACTAATTCAAGCTGTACACGTCCCCAACGGCAATTCCCTTAGCAATTTATACAGACGCCCTATTCGCTTCGTCGTCTAATTAACCGTATTTAAATTAATCAGGTGCAACGCATTTTTCTTTAACGAGCAAAGTTTGCTCTGATGCCGTTGGCGTAATTGGATACTTCCT